CACAAAACTGCAGTCTATTTACGTATAATTATTACACATAATGTGATAAATACATGTACTATATTATACGTACTGCAAACAAAAAAAAAACATGAAATAATTACTTTTTATGTAATCATTTTTGCGTGAGTTGGTTAGTACATGTGGTCGAAAGTCGTAAATTCGTCAGTCGAGAAGAAAGAGTAATTGTGAAATTCTTCTTCTTCGCATTCACCGGCTGTAAACTCCTGGATGCTCGTCCACCTATGGATTTTAGTCTTGTTGCAGAACCTGAGAGCTGCGTGCACATCCATTTTACAGATAGGACCTACATGTATGCATATTAATGGTTCCTTGCTTCTCAGGCAGATGCACTACGACTTCAAAAGTAGCCCCTAGTTAGTCGACTCTTAAGACATAATTGTTTGAGAGGCAATGGGTCTATTCTTGATGTTCCTACAATAAGGAATTGTGAATCTGTCTTCAGTAGAGTTTGAACATCTTAACCGTTCATACATTCCTAGTCTGCACTGCTGTGAAGAAGCCACATTGTCTAGACCAGTGATTCTCAACCTTTCTAATAGCGCGACTCTTTAATACAGATCCTCATGTTGTGGCGACACCTACAAATACAATTATTTTCGTCGCTACTTCATAACTGTAATGACTATGTGTTTTGCGAAGGTCTTTTGACGACCCTTGTGAAACCCATAGGTTGAAAACCGCTGGTCTTGACTAAATGGAGAATATCAGTCCATGGTATTCCTAGCATGCTACAATAGAGCCACATTTGTATAGACAAAATAGAGATTAACAAATGATCCACACATATATAGACAAAATGAAGGTAACAATTTAATGGTAATCCTAGCCTTCTAACCTACGAAATACACAGAAGTGTAGACAAAATGGAGAGTAACAATTCATGGCATTCCTATCATGCTACGATGGAGCCACATAAGTGTAGATTAAAAAAAAAAACAACAGCACGGTAACAATTAATGGTATTTCTAGCAAGCTATGCAGAATCCATATATTTTAGACAAAATGGTGGGAAAGGGGGGGGGGGGTGTATTCATGGTATCACTATCCTAATGCAATAGAGCTACATATGTTTAAATAAAATGGATAGTAAAAATTCATGGTATTCCTAGCCTCTAGTGTAGAGCCACATATAGAAATACAGTAACGATTAATGACACTCGTGTCATGCCACGAAGAGGCCACATTTGACAACACACTATTTAATGAGAGCACAAATTCGTGGCTGTTTTAGCATGATGTGAAGGAACCACGTACTTCTAGACTGCACGGATGCAAACTCATGTGTTTACACACAAAACAAATTCGATTTTATGGCATCCCTTGCTTTTGCAGGGTATCAAAGAACCATAAGTATCAAGGAAAAAAAATGAAATTAGGTGAAATTTATGAAAGAATTTATTTTCAATGGCTATGAAAAAATATATAATAACAGTTATATTCCTTTGCGTGTCGTGTCACCTGATATAGAACAAGCAAACGTTTTTTCTGGAATTTCTAGAAGTCTCTCTGTTTCCCCAAGCTCTTGGGTTGTGGCCCCTGAAATCTATGTTTTAAGTTACTTTGTGGTTATTGTATTTTATTAATTCTTCTGAAGTCACCAAACACGTTTAGACAAAATCTGCTCTAATTTATTGTTTCTCAGCCTACCATAACAGCTGCAGTCAATTAACATCATCATCTAAATGCATCAACTAGTCCTCGTAATGTTCCACATGATTAAAGTAATAATTATCACGATCAAATCCGATCGATAGGAAACTTATCAGAGCAGTCTTATTAGAGAAGCCAGAAAAAGAGAATACGTATGTACTCGCGTATCTTAACTGTCATTACTGTCTGTTTTGGGAGCCGCGGGGTCTAGTTGCTAGACGCTCGTCTGCGGATCGAAAGATCGTGGGCTCTGTTCCTGACGACGGCGGATTTTTTCAAAAAATGTCCTTGGCTTTCAGGTTGACCCAGCCTTGAGCGGGTACCAGGCACAGTCCTAGGAACTAAAGGCGGACGGACTGACGTTGACCACATCCCCCCACCAAGTGACGTTTAGTCTATAAAATAGATGTCTAGCTCTATATACCCAATACGCTGGAAAGGCGCGGAGAAGGGTATTTTACTTTTACTGTATGTTTTGCCACTTATTAAGTCGGTGTAGACAGGGGGCCTTCAGCCTGGTGATTTAGGAACTCCTGGCTAGTGCTGTCGCCGTGGACTGCGCAGGTTAGAATGTTGAATTTTTAATTATGCCTCCCACCCCACCCCTGACAGAAAAACTTCATCACCTTAGCGAATTGCCAACACAGTTTCATTTAAACATCCAGGGGATCGTACTGCCCTCAGTTTCAACCCCAACACCCTAGTTATGGCCCCTGGTACTCCACAGGGGGTATTTATTCCCCCAGCCGACATCCAATTTCGTCTTTCTCAGGACGAAATTTTTTGTCATTTGAAGCCCTACTCTGGCTTTTGCCAGGGGCCGCAATATAGGCAGGCCATAAATATGGCCAAATGTCTGAACGCGGTTTCTGGGACCTCTCCACGGCGATCCTCATCCGCATGGTGGCACTTTGTGTCATCGGGTGTTTATCGCTTGTGTGATGTCCTGGTGGGGTAGAAATTCATTCATTCACGTGTAGTCATTCTGCTGAGTAACCACCGACCCGGCTGCATCGAGATACCAGCTAAGTGATTTTGCGTATCTATGTAGTATTGTTTAATTTGTATGTGCTGATGAAGGCTCAATAGCCGCAACGTTCACGTTTTATTTGTATCTGTTTTATCGTGAAGCTTGCTAATATACTTTTCGTTCGCTTTTATATTTTAGGGGGATTAGAACTTTAGTCTCAAGCATGAGAGCCAGACGTTATAAATGCTCGGCCAACCACTCCTCTACGTAGCAACCGGAATAAATAGAAAACACAACACCCGGGCTGAGCTGAACACTCTCTCGACATGACGTACTGAAATTCCGTCAAACGCAGAGATGAGAAATCATACCTTTGAAAAAAAAATTATGTTCTCACAATAGACTCATCTAAACGTCTTTGCTCTGCTTCAAAAAAGTTAAAAAAATGTTAAAATTGAGGGGATCGACTTCACTGCACTAGGTTTTTTATCCCATATGGCACTGTCTCTCTTCACAGAAAGGCTAACTGTCTGCCTAGAGCGTCGAAAAAAAAACATGAATACTGTAGCTCCAGCGACTATCCCTGTAAAAAATTGCACTGGTGAACCAAATGACGCAGCCGTGAAAGATAGCCAAGATCTTCAAAGTGCAGCTTGACCACTTTTTCCCCGTGTGGTTTTCCGGGGCACCATTATATGGAAAACAAGAAAAGACCCACTGCCTACACAAAAGCATGTGGTAAGAATCGACTAATTAGAAGCTTCCATCGAAGTCTGAGTGCATCTACCTGAGAGGCAAAGAACCAACAGTCTGCATACAAATGAATCAGATCTGTAAAACGGATGCACACGCAACACTCAGGATCTAGAGCGGTACTGCAGTCCAGAAGTGGATGAACAACCAGAACTTTGCGCCAGAGTTTACAGCTGGTGAACGCGACGAAGAAGAAAGAGACCCCTCCAAAAATATATCCTTCCTGGTGGGGAATCTAACCCAGCAGTCTCGCGTGACTGGCGGGTATACTTACTACTATACTACCGAGGACACACCCTCTGCTTCTGTAAGTTCAAATCAGAGATTGTGAGTTTCAAACGTAGTGCTCTCACATTTACAAAAAAAAAAAAAAAAATTAAGTCAGAACTTGTGAGTACGTTCGTTTTAAACGTAGTGCTCTTACACTTAAACAAAAATATGAAGTCAGAACTTGTGAGTACATCTCTAGTACGTACGTTTCAAACGTAGTGCTCTCACACTTTAACAAATATCTCGAAAACTCCTGTATGGATCAACATGCATTTTGTGCACGTGACGTTAGATTTCTCATGCCCTTTAATTTTATTTTGCATTTGCACAGATGCTGCTGTTTTCTTAAAGCGGCCACTTTCTTTGATCTTTGACTAATATTGTGTGTATCCCTACAAAAAAAAAAAAAATAATAATTGGCACACTCAAGATTGTTTGGAAATCAGTTCACATATGCAGCGATGCACAGTGATTATTTTGATAGCATATCCTGCATTCAATGAAAAATCCGCACCTCACAGGAGACTAATGCTGCTGGAGATGGCCACCTGAGAGTGAAACACCAATGACAGGCATGCAGTTTTGTGTCAAACTATTTTTTTCTTTACTCAATTAACCGTTTGCTTTGTTTCGGTACCTGTTCTTTCATATGCAGAGGGGAAAAAGACGAAATGAAAACTAGATGTTTGTTTACATAGTTTTTTGTTGTGTTTTCCCCCTTTTGTTTTGTTTGACATCATCATCAGTACTCTTTATGCCTAGTGGCACATGAAGCTTCGGAGAGGACTTCCCGCGCTTTTCTGTCCTGTGCAATTTTCAGTGCAGTTTTTCATGTCAGAGATGCCACACTAAGGTACTTTCCATCGTTCGTCTACATGATGTTTTTGGACGCCATTTTCCCCCCTCTGGTGTCCAAGTGAGAGCTGTTTTGGTAGGAATATCAGGAATCATTCTCACAACGTGGCCAAGCCATTTCCATTTTCTCTTTGTTATCATACTGTCTAGAGTTTTTTGGTTAGTGACTTGAAGTAGTTTTTGTTTTACAAGGATATAAAGATTTTAAAATTTGGGCACGACTTCAGGAACGTACTGTAGACTGGACTTGTCCAGCTTCGAATTGTATAACCTGACCTGATATGACATTCGACAGAAGTCAAACCTTGATCTAGCAACTTCACCAGAATGCCCGTTTTTACTCCGAGTGTAAAAATGTGTCTTGTTTTACAATTAACCAGAAAGACAAACGTATGATCAAAGATGTATACAGATATTGTCTTTGGTCCCACGTGTAGCAGTTGACAAACTTATCTTTCACAAAGAAAATTTACCAACCCTATCTTCTCTGTACAGAGATAAAAAAATTAACTCTGTCCTCTCTCCCTACCGAGCTAAGCGAGCCTCTGCTGGAACTAGCCTTAATCTCAGCAAGAGGCGACACAAAGGAATATCTGCAGCCTGCAACTCCGGGCGGGGTGACACCATTAAGATGGGAGGATGTCCTCATTAACCCGTTGTTCTTGGAAGATGTTGAGGACTCTGAGTTTCTTTTGCGAGGAACAAGTAGTGACTTTCTGACGCCATTACTGTCCTCCTGTCGCCGACGTCTCCACCTGCCTCTCAGACAATAGCAGCAGCGGATAAACTCTCGCTTGAACTTGATCGTGAACATCCCTGCAGATTCACAACAAAAATAAATTATAGGTTTCATGGATACGCTAAAGTTTAAAATAAAAAAAAAGTAGATTCCTTTTCACGCCTTAGGCGCATCGGGCATATGAGAAAAGAGACCCAATCGGCACTAGGTGGGTAATGTGGTCAGCATAACGCCAACCGTCTTTACTATCCCAGGACAGCCATCCGGGTACCCATTTTAGGCTGCGACGCCCTATACATACCATAAAAACAATCCACGCAGCCAGCAGTGGGTTTCGATCGCGGTACGCTGGAATAAAGAGTCGGATATATATATATATGTGTGTGTGTGTGTGGGTGTGTGTGTGCCTGTGTGTGTGTGTATATATGTATATATATATATATATATATATATATATATATATATATATACATATACATATAAATGAGTTGAGTTGTGTCAATAATTGACATCACAGCACTTGGGACATTCTCATGCACTCTTAGTCTTCGACTTCAGCTGCCAGCGCAGAGTTCTAATACTGATGGTATCGGTCACAATCCGGTTATATGTCTGTCTTGTCTTTCCTCTGAGTGTAGTGAGCCGGCTAGACCTTCTGGTTACACCCAGGTGCCTCATTCTCTCCAGGCTATAATAATCTTCTTTCTCTACTGATTCCGTTGCATTTCCCTAAAGAACCTTGACCACATCGGCCTTGTCATGTATCAATTCACCACCCAGTGGTGCGGATCCAGCCAATCTGTCTTTCTGTTCATTACCCAACACGACGGCATTGCCTGGAGTAAAGATCAAAAGAATGCTCACTACATATATACATTTATATATACACACATACATACGTCTGTCTGTCTGTCTGTCTGTCTGTCTGTCTGTCTGTCTGTCTGTCTGTCTGTCTGTCTGTCTGTCTGTCTGTCTGTCTGTCTGTCTGTCTGTCTGTCTGTCTGTCTGTCTCTGTGTGTGAGTGTGTGTGAGTGTGTGTGAGTGTGTGTGAGTGTGTGTGAGTGTGTGTGAGTGAGTGTGAGTGAGTGAGTGAGTGAGTGAGTGAGTGAGTGAGTGAGTGAGTGAGTGAGTGAGAGAGAGAGAGAGAGTGAGAGAGAGAGAGAGTGAGTGAGTGAGTGAGTGAGTGAGTGAGTGATGTGTATGTATGTCATGTGATGTGAGTGAGTGAGTGAGTGATGTATGTTGTGAGAGAGAGAGAGAGAGTGAGTGAGAAGAGTGAGTGAGTGAGTGAGTGAGTGAGTGAGTGAGTGAGTGAGTGAGTGAGTGAGTGAGTGAGTGAGTGTGTGTGTGTGTGTGTGTATGTATGTATGTATATACATTTAGGAAGATAGAGGAAGGATAGAGGAAGACAACGAGAAAAGATTCTTGACAGTATTGTTGCATAGCATGGAGGTTTGCCAGCGCACGAACTAAAACATGCTTCAGAAAATCGCAGATTGTAGCGACGCATAATTGCCCACGCTAGTCGGCAAGGTACACGATGATGATGATACACTATTCGTATTCGTATTCGTATTCAACCGAATAGCTGGTCTCGCTATTCATATTCGTCCGAACAGTGAAAATCACTATTCGGCACAGCCCTAATATATATATATATATATATATATATATATATGTGTGTATGTATATATATCTGTCACGGAGTGAACAGCCAACCCTACACTATGGACTAGTCGTGACGTTGACATCCCTAGCGGGCAGGTCACATTTCAAATTTGAATACGTCCGGGGGATATATAGTCCCTCATATTGATATATACCTATATCTGGTGAAATAAACATTTCCAGACCCTTTAGTTGTTTTGAGAAGTCTACATTTTCAAACTTGCAACTGTTGGATAGATAATTTCTAGAAAATATTCAGAAACTCCTGTAAGCCTTTTTACTCCATGGGCACGAATACAGGACTTTTTTTCAAAAGACGCCAAGCGGAATCTGGGGCGGGCATTCTTTGTCAGACCTCTGAGGTGTCGAGAGACATTTCAATTCTCTCATTAAACTTTGGCGCATTCAAAATACCAGTTTAATCTTTGAAGGATTCCTATGCTTGGGTAAGTTAATTATAGTTTGCGAGTACGTTGATATATGTCTCTTTAAAGTTAGCCACTGCTGCAGGGAGGGAAGATTCAGCTGTGTGACCGCACAGAACTAGGCGTTCTTGATGTCCAGACACTCAAGCCCCTAAAATCAAACCTTTCCCTTCGCAGGCTAATAGTTTGTGCTCTACTTGAACCACATCATTATAAAGATATTAAACCCAGCAAGTTAATTATTCTCTAACCAGACAACCGAGTTGTTTTGATTAGCAGACACATTAAACTGGGTTACTCTTCAGCTGGTTAGACGCTGTGACGTCAGAGGTTGGTTTTGGCATAACACAGAGTGTGGGATGAGCAGACTGGTGGATGGTATAAAATATAGATGTGAGAGAGAGAGAGAGAGAGAGAGAGAGAGAGAGAGATGGGATGTATATCTGCAAGTGCAGAGTTGGGTGTGGAGAGTTGATGGTCTATGTTTGAGAGAATCTATCGGTCTCCACTGTTGTACTTGTCTCCTGTCCCTGTTCCTGACTGACCGACAGAGAGAAATTTGGAGGCTTCTGCTGTCTCATTATCCTGGAGCTGTCCTCTGAGTGATTGCCAGGGGTGGAGGGTAAATAAATGAGCTGAGCATGTAACCTCTGAGATGATTACTAATTCTGAGTTCCTTCCTGATACAGGATGAAAATTCCTGGGAGGCCAGGCATTGAATCAGCACCACAAAAGCACCAAACACAAAAGTAACCACTACCAAACCATTACTATGGCAAACAGCAAGGTGGGAGCCAAAGAGTAGGCATCTGCTTACAGGCAGCGCCATTGACATTCACACCAGTGTGCCTTCTTCAGGAGCGTGTTGGGTTCCAGTGGCTGAAAGGCTGTTGTTCCAGTCCACCAGGACCACCCTCGGTCCAGAACACCCTCTTCAGGAGCTTGTTCAGCTCAAATTTTGATTTATATGTGACTGTGTCTGCCAGATCAACCATTGAAGTGAACTTTCTCAGAAGGCCAGCCTGTTACAGTATCATTAACTGATAAGTGCAGTGACTCCTACCTGGAATAGGAACAGATAAGTAGTGAACTCTATGGTAATGCCGTGTTCTATATTTACAGGTCCACGCCAGATCACCATGATGATGTCAGGCTGCCTCTAAGAGATTCCTCAATGTCCGTTAAGAGAATTTCGGTGTTGATCTTGCAATATTCCAATGCCTTTTATCTTCCTTTGAATCATATATCATGTTGATGTTGAATTTATTACAGTATTTCTAAGGTTTCACTATTGACTGGATTGTCACTCATTCATTGTTGTTAGCTGTCTAAAGAACATGTATGTTCAATTAATAATCTTCATCTGTGTTAACATGGCTATGATAGTATATTATCATAGCCTGGAGGCTATCTTTTTATAGTAGTGGGGGTGTCCAGCCAAGTGTGCCTAGGAATATTAGATATTCTGTAGTGCCAGAGCTTGAGTTGCCCTACTCCTGGAATAAGTTGAGCGTATATTGGCCACGGGTTCTCCCTTAGACCAATACGAGCCGACGCCTCAACATTATTATTTCAGAGTGCTGTTGGTTCTTAAGGAGCAATCCTTAAATCAGGCACGCGACACGAGCGGTATGTGACAATATCTATATACACACATACATACACATATAAAATATACATGTTTATATTATGATTTTTCACTATTTGGCCGAATACGAATAATGGGACTAACTATTCGGCCGAATACGAATAGTGTATTGTGTATAAAATATATCTTTAAAAAAAAAATTTTATAATGTAAAATGTGTGCTGAACTTTTACTTCACAGAAAGTAGCACAAAATAGTCATCTTCTTCTTTAGCATTCTGAGCCCTTGAGATTTACTGCTGCAGATATCACTCGTCTCCATACATCTCTCTGGCTGGCATTCTCTTCACAATTTGTGACACCAGTTGTTTGCAGGCCTGCTTGGACATTATCTCTCGAACTTTGTTTGTCTGCCTCATCGTCTACATCCATTCATCTCTCATGTGTATACAGTTTTTACTTCTCTTTCATCTGACATTCTTTCAATATGCCCCAACCATTTTAGACTGTTAGCTCCCATGATGCCAGTGATCAATGTTGATTTAAACAGATTATGTGTGTCTTCTCACTCTCCATTCTCCGCTGTTAGCATCTTTGATGGGTCCAAAGATTTGTCGTAAGACTGTTTTCGAAAACCTGTAATAAGGCCTCATCTCTTTTATTTCTGCTTCAAGTGACAGAGCCATATAAAACGACTGGTCTTATCAACGTTCAATATTTTTTATCTTGGTGTTGCGAGACAGACACTTCGACTTTAGCAGTTGTTGAAGGGCATAGTATAATTTATTTCTAGATTGTATTCTAGATTGTATTACTTCTCTCAGCATGTTGGAGCAGTTGAAGTCTGCAACCAAGTACTTATATGTTTACGTTTGTTTGATTTTCATATAATCGACTTGGATGTGGACCGGAGTTTATATTCTTTCCATGTCTAGTTAGTATTCTTACATAATAGTAAACAAAAAACATTTTTTGTTTTGCATCCTTCAGTCAGTCTGCGGTAACTAATAACTAGGAATAAAAGACTCTTAAGTATTATAACAAGCAACTAAACGTGGA